GCCCAAAGACAATGCCCCTCCGATCCGATGGCGCAAGGGCGAGTTGATCGGTTGCGGTGCCTTTGGCCGTGTCTACATGGGCATGAATCTTGGTTCTGGAGAGCTTCTTGCTGTTAAACAGGTCCATATTATTTATTGGTTTTCTGCTGTTTTCGTCCTTATTTTTGGGTTTTGGAGTTTGCTTTTGTTCTTTACGGCTGTTCATTCCTTCTGGATTTTGTTTAATTTTGGTCTTTGAGTGTCAATTTGACTTATTTGGCTTGTTATTTTATTTTTTCTGGGTTTCATTTTCATTTGTTTTTATGTTGATTATATGGATTTGATCTGGAGTTGGTGCTGGAGCTGTTTCTTGTTAGCTCTCAAAATTTGGGGTTTCCTCCAATTTTAGTTTTGGAGTTGATTTTCTTAATTCTCACAGGTTTTGGTTAAATTTTTGTACTGAGTTTGATTTTTGAATCATGTTGGAGTATCAACTCTATCTGGATTTTCCTTGATTTCACTTTACGATTTCCATAGCTAGTTCAGTCTGGGATTTGGTTCAGAATATAATTTTGATATGTGTGCTGGTTCTTTCACAGGTTCTTATTGCAGCAAATAGTGCCTCAAAGGAGAAAACACAGGTTTGAATTGAATTCTTGTTTTACTATACAGCTAAGTTTTTAAAGTGATATATGGCATTGCATGTGATGATTGTGATGTTGAGAATCAGCATTAACCCTCCACCGCCTCTCCCTTTGTTTAATGCACATCACAAAATTGGATGAGTCGTATAGTCAAATATGCTAGAACTTTTGAGAAGGTTTGCAGACAGTTAGTTTCCAGAACCATTGTTTCCATAAAAGGAAGCTTAGCTCCATTCTTGTGTATGCCCATGACGTGGTGAATCTCATATGCCATTAATTTGTGAGAGAACATAAGTGTTACTCTAAGTTGATGAGTGCGCATAGGAAGTGATTGTGAGTGGATAGCTGCCCTCTATGTTAGATGTTTGGGCTTGTGTACGAGTGAATGAGGTGCAAGAGGTGTATGAGTGCTTGTTGTGTAAGACTAACGTAATGCATTCTGATCTATATATAAATTTTTTGTACATTTAATTTTTCATCTCCAATATTTCTTATTATTTAGACATCTAAAACATTTTCTGAAGATTTGCCAAGTATGACAATTGATATCATATCTTTTTAGTTGCTATTAATTCGCCCATTAATGGTTTTAATGCTATAAGTAGGCTCACATCAAGGAGCTTGAGGAAGAAGTGAAGCTTCTAAAAAATCTGTCTCATCCAAACATTGTGGTAAGTAGGACTGTCTTGTGTCGATATCAACTCTTGGAGTCTATTGCTTTTCTGACCTTGTACTTTGTTTTGGGTTCTTAGAGATATTTAGGTACAGTGAGGGAGGAGGAAACCTTGAATATTCTGTTGGAATTTGTCCCTGGTGGGTCCATATCATCGCTTTTGGGGAAATTTGGATCTTTCCCTGAGGCCGTAAGTCCTTGTCGACTAACTTTGCATTTTGTAGGTTTTTTGAATGCTAAACTTATACAATCTGTTTGAGCAGGTAATAAGAACATACACCAAGCAGTTGTTACTGGGACTAGAATATTTGCACAAAAATGGAATCATGCACAGGGACATTAAGGTACCCCTCACCTGCGGCATGTATAAAATTGTCAATCACCTTTCCTGATGTTTTCTTTGTAAACGGTTAATATGTATCTCATATTAACTTTCAGGGAGCAAATATCCTTGTTGATAATAAAGGATGCATTAAACTTGCAGATTTTGGGGCATCCAAACAGGTCGTTGAGCTGGTACAGACATTTATTTTCCTTCATTTCCATTTAGACGTGCAGTATCTATTATGCATGGTTACTTCTATAATGCATGGTCTATCTAATTGAGCGGTGCGTTGTTGCAGGCAACTATTTCTGGTGCTAAGTCTATGAAGGGTACACCATACTGGATGGCTCCTGAAGTTATTCTTCAGACTGGTCATAGCTTGTAAGCACAAAATTACAGTTGTAGCATCTATTTGATTTCAGGCATGCTATTTGATCATGACATGTCATTTCTGTATTATCTTGGGTTAGAGTATTGATTCACTTCAGTAGGTGTATTGCTGGTAGTTCTTCCTAGACAGTGATTACAATTTTGCATTATCTATTCCATATTTCTTGGATAAGTAAAGAATGCTGATATGTGAGAATAACTCTGCAGCTCTGCTGATATATGGAGTGTTGGATGTACTGTGATTGAGATGGCAACAGGAAAGCCTCCTTGGAGCCAACAGTACCAAGAGGTAATTAATCTGCTAATTCTTTAAGTCTTATAATAAAGTTTTCCCTCCTGCTTGTTGCACTAACGGCATGTTTTTCTAGGTTGCTGCTCTCTTCCATATAGGGACAACAAAGTCTCATCCACCAATCCCTGAGCATCTTTCCTTTGAGGCGAAAGATTTTTTGCTAAAATGCCTGCAAAAGTATGCTAATGTTGTCTTCTTTACATCATTTCTATTTGGATTCAAACTCTCCTAGATATGTGTTGCATTGATCTGTTCCATTAAACTATAAATATGATTCTTGTGGAGCAATCAATAACATTCACGTTTTAGGTAGAGAGAGAGGAATGGCTCAATTTATGTATTTATTTTCTCTGAATTTATGTTTATTTTGGTCCTGTGGCAGGGAACCAAATTTGAGGCCAGTGGCATCTGAGTTGCTTCAGGTAATTTAAATCTGTTTTCTCTACACAACGGAGTTTCTTTATATCTTGTAAATCGTCTGCTTCCAGTGTAATTTTTTTTGGTGTTTTCTGCTGGCGAAGCCCAAGTCAACCCTTATCTTATCAAGTTCTTACACTTCTACTGTAACAACTACTTGCAGCATCCATTTGTAACTGGGCAACATATGGAACCTCATCCTGTTTTTCGTAAATCTGTCATGGTAATGAATGAGGTTGTACAATATTGCGGTTGTTTTTCACCATTAAATCTTTTGAGTGACACTTAATTTGCTATCATCAGGAAGAATCTGAAGTCCCATCTCCATCATATTCTACAAACCTACACATCTTGTAAGTAGTACAATTATGCTTCTTTGGAACTTGTAAAATCAGAGAATGTATGCTATAATTTTTTAACATGCTTTTGACATGGTGGCATCAATTTTGTTGCCAGCGAGATGTCAACCTGCCCTGATTCAGATGATATGTGTAATTTGGGTAGTTTGCAACACTCAACTATACATCCTAACAAGTTGTTGGGAAGTAGACATGTTTGGGGAAGAAACAGCAGTGATGATGATATGTGTCAGATTGATGACAAAGATGATACTATGGTGGGCGAAGCAAAGCTCGGTTCTTCTTTGATGCCCTACAACCTTAAGGTAATTGAATTTGTGCCCTCAAGATTTGGATAAGTTTTAAGCAGTCAAGAAATTCAGAAACTAACTGTTTGCATGCTATTCTGTTATGTTAGAGCTTTAACCCAATGTGTGAGCCCACTGATGAGTTGGGGTGCAAATTTGGTGGAAGTTCGGAAACAGAACAAAATGGAATGAATCTGGATACAAATCACCAAATGGATTTTCCTGCCAGCTGCTCTGGAACTATTGGAGAGGGAGAAAAAGACTTTTCATTTCCTTGCGGAACATCACTTGCAGAGGAGGATGATGAACTTACTGAATTAAAAATTACGGCTTTTTTGGATGAGAAGGTACTGTTTTGGTTGGAGTTAGAATTACTTGTCTTCTATGTTACGGGTATATGCACTTGGGTATGGATGGGTATGTGTCTTGGAGGAAGAGTTAAATAACCAAACACTTAGCCATGTCGTGCATGCTGACATTATTATGGAAAGCTGAAATTAAAGGTTTATGAAACTATCTTGCAGTCATGTTTTTGTAGATTTCGGTTTGGACTTGATTAATTCTGAACTGTGCCATTGATCAAAATCTCAGGCTCTAGAACTGAAAAAACTGCAAACACCATTATATGAAGAGTTCTACAACAGCCTGAATGTAGTGTGCTCTCCAAATTTTTTGGATAACTCGCCTGATGAAACCACCTCAAGGTACTTGAAATTACCTCCCAAAAGCAGATCACCTAGTCGGGGTCCAATTGGTACCCCATCTGCAGTGGCTGATGCTCTTAGTTCTGGAAGTCCTGGGAGTAATGGCAGGCGTGTATCAAATATTGGAAATGATCAAACTGCACAGGACATGCCGTCACCTCCACTCAGTAATTTGAAAGGTCTTGTAGTTGATGGACAGCAAGAGCCAGGTAGTCCAAGGTTAGTTCATGCATTCTGGTTCATGTAATTCGATATTTTTTTTTTCTTTGCTCTCCACTCTTTTGAGTAATATCTGATATATGATAGTACTCGCAGTATGAGCTTCTCTGAGAGAGAGAGGAAGTGGAAAGAAGAGCTTGATCAAGAGCTTGAGAGAAAGCGAGGTAGATGTTTCTTTTCCTCTTCTGGTTTCAAATTCCAACTATATATATATATTATTTGATTGGTATAAATAGTATGGAACTTGTAGGATTCTGCTTGGATTTTGATTTGACCACGAATAATATATCTAGATAAATGTAACATAACATGTCTGAAGTTTAGTATTAAATAATCTAGGGAAAATACATAAAGTGTACAAAAAATATAAACAAACCAACCATCTTGTATGTAGTTTGGTGACTGTCACTTAAGTCAAATGGCGGTGTTATCAGTTTTCTTTGCTTTTGCAGAGATGATGCGGCAAGCAGGTGTTGGAGGGAAATCATCATCTCCGAAGGATCGAGCTTTAAATAGGCAGAGAGAGCGAACTAGGTTTGCATCTCCAGGCAAATGAAGTATGTGAGCTGGTCCTTGAGATGGTAGTTGTATCTTTCCTTGGGGAATTCATCCTTTGGAGTTGGAGTTTTGGAGATAAAATACCTGGTGCTCCAGTTTACCAGCTCCAACCTCTCCATGTGGGAAACAGCAGTGCTGCTGCATCCGGTTCAATTCCTCATTGTGCAACCTTTAATGATGCCCTTGTATGTTCTATCAAAGGCCAAGCTAGTGATTGCAAGCAGGGCTGCATAAAGCAATGATCTCAAGTTGTTGGATATAAATATATAGATTCTTTTTGGGGGTTTGGGGGGGAATCATACAGTGCATAGAAATTGTATTATTGATGTAGTAATCTGGATCTATGGCACAGGCTAGATAGATAGTATACAAGAACTTGATGCCACTTTTTTTATGCGTGTTTTTGATTCTTGTGATTAATGGATTACAAAATGGTTTCCCGTGTGTGTCAGTTCTGGTGTCGTGCATACAGCAGCAACTATATAGTTGAATTTGAGTTTTATCCCAAACCCATATATAATGAGATGTTACCTCAAAACTCAAATAGTGAAGGGCCCAAATATCATAGAAGACAGGGAGCTTCTAAAATGAGGGGTTTTATTGAGGGGTTACAATGAGGTTGAATCCAACAATTCAATAATAAATCTGCACTGAATCGGACGACTATTAAGCACCAGTGCAGACTCCACTGTAGAGGACAGAAAAGAGAAGGCTGTGGTCTGGCCCGATACATAACAATACGCAATGAATGGGCTTAATCCACAAGAAGACCGATGAGACCCGATCCGAATAAATCACAACATAGCCAGTGCCTTATAATTTGATCATTCGTTCGATTTGTGCATCATCTTAAGATCTCTTCTGATATTTTGATCTGAGACTCTGCCGAACTATCTCGATCTAGAGACGTCGGCTCATTTCCCTAGGAGATTCTGAGATTTCGCTGCAAAATGGAGGACACGGGAGGCCGAGATGGACTAAGGATTCGAAGATGGAGGTTTCTGGGGAGGCCAGCATATGAACCGTCGTCGTCGTCGCCCTTGGTGTTCGCATCACGACGGATCTGCGAGAAATTTGCATGAAATCTTCGAAAGCATAGCGTAAATCTCTTACTCTCTTCTTTGAATTCGTCAATCTCTAGCTCATTTCAAATCCTAACTCCTGACCTATCCCTAACCCTAATTTACCATTCATTTGACCTTGTTTTAGATCGAAGAAATTTATGCGTACGAACCGTCGTCGTCGGCCTTGGTGCTCTCGATCTGCTAGAAATTTGCATGAATGTAAGTCTCCCACTCTCTTCTTTAAATTCGTCAATCTCTAGCATGTCTCAAATCATAACCCTAACCCTAATTTATCATTTCATTTTACTACCTTGTTTTAGATCCCAGAAGACCTGGGCTGGGTTGCGTAAAGAGAAGCATCTTCAGACCCATTCATTGCATAGCTTCCACTTCCAGCGAAGATCCTCAGGTGAATGTTTGAATTTGTGGTTCTTTAATTGATTGGTTTCTTGTTCGGAATTGAAAGTTTTAGTTTGGACTGTGCTGAATTTCTCAATTAGAACGCTTAAGTGTTGGGGGAACATGACAATTCATAAGCGAATGCGAATGGCTTTTATCGTTCGCGGATAAATTATGTGTGGCAAAAGCGAATGGCCAAAGTTGGCATGGTCCTTCGAATCCTTTTAGAAAAAGGTCTCTTTCATGCATTATTACTAGTGTGGTTTCTCACTGCGAAGCAAAACACACATGGAATCGTATTTGTACTTTGTTAGAGTAAGCGAGAGAGCTTTAGAATATTAGGAAGTAAAGTTTTGAAGTTACGATGAATGCAGTACAGTGTAGGCTATAGCAGCGTGAATATGATAATGGTCATAGTTTTGTATGCTATGTCGAATTCATGCTTAAAATCATAATAGATTTTGTTGAGGTGTAACTGTGTTAGTTATTACTAGAAGGCTTGTGCCTTAACGTTAACGTCTTGTTTGTGGGGATGAAAAAATATATAACTAAACTATAATATTGTAAGTATAGTGTGAAAATACCCTTGAGCTAGTTATCTTCTTTTTCAGTCTTAGTTATAGGATTCTTATCTTCTATTATGTTGGGTTTGCTGTGCTACTTATTGGGTTTCCTTTGTCTAGCCCAGTAATTGCAATTTGGGAGGGACAAGTATTTCTCATATCAATTTTCGGGGATCAGTATTTCCGCAATTTTGGCCCAAAAGTTGCTTAACTCGTTTCAAGAAATTTACACCTTTGTGTTATTTTATCGGTTTTTCATCTGTATTTTTTTGCTAATACTTGATATTCTTTTCTGCAGCTATGCTTCTGTTTATATGAATTAATTTGGTTCTTTTTTTTCAACACCCCTTATGTAAAGATTGAAAATGCAAAAAGGTCCCTGCCGAGAAGGTATGGATTTGTTTAAGATGAAGTGAAGGTCGCTGCTGAGACGGCTTGGGAACTTGAACAGAACGGAATGCTTTTTTGTGGGCGCGCTTGCCGGCCTTTTCATGTTTTTTGTCCTAGTTTCACGACAGAGGGTCCAGTAACATGGAACTGGGCCCAAAAGTCGGCACACAACAAGTGAAGTAGGGCCTACAACGGGAAAAGGCCCAGCTGAAGGGCCAGTAATCACCAAATTGGCCTACTAAAAGGCTCACGAATGACCAAATAGGCCCACTGAAAGCCCCATAAAGGCCTATGAACGACAAAATGAGCCCAATGAAACTGCAGACACGACAAAATAGGCACACAGAAGCCCCAGAAACGACAGAATAGGCCACTAAGGGCCCTTAAACGACAAAACAGGCCCAATAGACGCCCCTAAACAACAAAATAGCCCCAATCGATGCCTCCGGAAAACGACAAAATAGGATCAATGTAGGGCCACAAAACAATAAAATAAGCCCAGCGTAAGCCTCATAAACGACAAATAAGCCCAATATAGAACCATAAAACGACAAAATAAGCCCAATATAGAGCCAGAAAACGACAGAATAGGCCCTGTAAAGCCTGGGAAACGACAAAATAGGCCCAATATGGGGCAAGAAACGACAAAATTGGCCCGATCTAGGGCATGAAAGCGACAAAATAAGCCCAGTAAAAGTCTCAGAAACGACAAAATAGGCCCAACATACGGAGGCCACAGACACGACAAAAAAGCCCAGTAGGAAATCAGAAACGACAAATTAGGTCCAATCTAATATCATAAAACGACAAAATAGACCCAGTAAAGATCCTCAGAAACGACAACTTGGGCCCATAAAGCCCCAGACACGACAAAATTGGCCCAGTAAAGAATCATAAACGACAAATTAGGCCCAATATAGAATCATAAAACGACAAAATAGGCCCAATATAGGGCAAGAAACGACAAAATAGGCCCAATATAGGACCTGAAACGACAAAATAGGCCCAATGGACCTCACAAAACGACAAAATAAGCCCAGTAAAGTCTGAGAAACGACAAAATAGGCCCAATATGCGGCAAGAAACGACAAGTAGGCCCAGTAAAAGACTCAGAAACGACAAATTAGGCCCATAAGTGCACAGCACACGACAAAAAGGCCCAGTAGAAAATCAGAAACGACAAATTAGGCCCAATCTAGTACCATAAAACGACAAAATAGGCCCAATGGGCCCTAGAAAATGACAAAATAAGCCCAGTACAAGGCTTAGAAACGACAAAATAGGCCCAGTAAAGATCCTCAGAAACGACAACTGGGGCCCATAAAGCGCCAGACACGACAAAATTGGCCCAGTAAAGAATCATAAACGACAAATGAGGCCCAATATAGAATCATAAAACGACAAAATAGGCCCAATTTAGGGTAAGAAACGACAAAATAGGCGGAATATAGGGCCTGTAAACGACAAAATAGGCCCAATGGACCTCATAAAACGACAAAATAAGCCCAGTAAAGTCTGAGAAACGACAAAATAGGCCCAATATGCGGCAAGAAACGACTAGTAGGCCCAGTAAAAGCCTCAGAAACGACAAATTAGGCCCATAAGGCCACAGACACGACAAAAAAGGCCCAGTAGAAAATCAGAAACGACAAATTAGGCCCAATATAGTACCGTAAAACGACAAAATAGGCCCAATATAGTGCCATAAACGACATATGCCCAATTTTTCATAAAACGACAAGATAGGCCTAGTAAAGCCTCCGAAACGACAAAATATGCCCAATAAACGACAAAATAGGCCCAATATAGGCCAGAAAACGACAAAATAGCCCCAATATGGGGCCATAAACGACAAACTGAGCCCACTGAAGGGCCCGTAAACGACAAAATAGGCCCATTGAAGAGTCCAGAAACGACAAGAAAGACCTTTTGGGCGTTATTGGGCCGATTTGTTTGCCAGTACTCAAGTTACTGGGCCGTGTTCTGGGCTCATTTGAGCATTATTGGGGCGACTTTTGTGGCCTTTTCGTACGTATTTGGGCCCACATTTGGGCCAGACTTCAAGTTAGTGAGCCTGTACTCAATTTTTTGGCCCGTTTTCGGGTTGTTGGGCCAACATACGTGCTGAATTTCATGTAATCGGATGTCTGGGCCTTCTTTGTTGGGAAAATTTCACTTTTGAGGACCCACTTCTGGTGCTTTGGGGGCTATTTAATGCAAGTTTATAACTCAAGTGGTGAAATATTGAGCCAGTTATATCAAATTTTATTTTACTAAACTGAAATTTTCTATCAATCGACCCAATTTTTAAAATAATGAGTTTGTAACGGTGAATGCCATCAACAATACTAGAGAAAATTTGATGATACTGAAACACGGAATCGGACCTACTGGGAATTATGGGGCCGACCATTCAGTCATCCAGTGTTTTAACTCCTAACATGTAATGACGTTTCCATTTTAAAAGAAATTAAAATATCGACTGCAAATTGAAAAAAATAAAAATAAAAAAACAAATCGAAACACTTAATCATAGAACTAAAACAAACTAAACAAAAAAGAGACTGAAAACACTTGGAAAAACCATGCCAGCCGTGCTTCAACTCCAATCCTCTTTCCCATTTGACTTTCATCCTTTGCCTTCATTTTCCCACCGCCTAAACCGAAACATATGAAAGTAGATAAGAGGAGACGGATGAGAGAGAAGAGAGAGAGACACACACACACAGAGAGACCATGCAATGCGGAAAAAAAACTGCAAACAATGACAGAAATTTGAAAAACGCCCGCAAGGCCAAAGAGAAAAGTAAGTCGATCAAGAACAAATTAACACACACTTGGATAGCGACCCAACGAAAAATCAGGTAATGTAAAACCAAATGATATCACTTTCATGCTTCAAAATTTTTTTTAAAAAAGGTTTTTTTCTTAATCAAGAAACTTTAGTTGGAGCAAGAAGAAAAGGAAGAATGAATGCTTTATAGAGGCAGGAAAGAAACCTGTGATACAAGGTTAAGCAACTGCTACACTGTTTGAAGGAAACCCATCTGTAAAATGTAACATCCCATAACCAAACTCGAATGTCAATGAGGCTGAGTGAGATCAGTTAAATGCATGACCTGCACATTCATCAATAAGGAATAAGAATCACAAAGAAAAAAAGGGGGGAAACTAAAGTCTGCCAAGAATATAGCGGGGCTTTTCTCATTACCAAATCAATTTTGTGCATAGAAATGTAAAAATGCCAGCCACTAATGATTCATATATACACACACAAATGTACTAGACGCATCAAACAGAAGCCAAGCATGTAGATTACGATGACAGTCACCGTACGAAGAGATAAACTAAGGTGTGGGAAAAAGAATGGGTATGCTAAAAGTGGATGCATGACCGTCAGGTAAGATAACCTGCTTGGATGCATGACTGGACATCAAAATGTGAGACTTTATGCATTATAAGCATCATTGACCAGAAGGCCAGCAAACCACCACATCATATGAGGCGAGCTCCATAATAGAATCTACAGAGATTCAAAAAGTAATCCATATAACTCTCAAGCCCTAAACTGAATAGAACTGAAACTGTCCAACTTATAAAATGAAAACCTAAAGCGCATAATACCCTAGGGAGTTATTCGTGCATGTTCGATAGACAAATTGAAAACCGAATGCTCGTTTTCAATCAACTTAACAATGGTTGAAACTCCAAAAGTAGTGTTTAAATATAAAGGCTAAAGTAAAAACAAAGTTAGATATATATGAACAAAAATTTCATGCATTTTACATCAGCAGGATAACTAGGTTAAATTAATCAAAATATACGATTAAAAAATAGTCAAAAACTGCCTACATAGGGGAAATTGAACCTTCTCTTTTTCTCCAAACAGGTATGAAATGGATTCTTGCTACTAGTGTAAATCTAGCACTCAAAATTAGGGTCTAAATCATCGATTCAGACTCTTACCGTAATCTGAGACAGATCCTGATCCGCGCGACATGGCTACGTTCTGGATTGTTGTCATCTTCATCGTTGACGCAGAGACCAACGATCTCACCATTCTCTTTGCACCATCCGAAACCCTAAATCATTGCCTTGTTCGGATCCGGATCCGGTTCCGGACAAGGTAATGAAAATGATTGAGAGTTCGTATTTTGCCATGGGGCTCCATTCTCGAATGTCGTCTACTCAGAGACGCGAGCGACGGAACCTAGGGATTCTCTACCCTCTCGGACTCTCTAGCTCGCTCTCTCGCTTAATCGCTTGGAATTGGGAGTCAGATCTGACTGTAGAGAGATTTGATTTGAGAGACCATTTTTCGTATTTGCCCGGTTATGATATGGGCCGTTTTGTCTCTTTCCCATTTTGGGCTTTTTATACGAATTTCACTGACCCAACAAAATGAGAGTAATTAAAAAAAATCAAACAATATTATTCGTTTTCTTTTCTCAAGATATATGCATTTGTACCATAAATATAAAGGCAGCTAGCTATAATTTGTAAGTTTTTTTTTCCCATTACGTAGGCTTTATCAATTTGTAAGTTTATTTTTAAATTTTTAAAATTAAAATATTGATTTTTTTAATTACTATTTTGTCCTTTAAAAAAACATATAATAGTCTACTCTAAATTAATTGGAAAAGGAAATTCAAACTTCGATGCAACCAGACGACTCCCTGGCCAACTGGCATTACCCATGCTTGCTATCATTGTTAATAATTAAGTTGTCTTTTAAGATTTTAGTCAATACATAATAATTCAAAATAATGCCACAAGGAAAGATGAATGCAGCCAAAGAAACTGCTGAGTGTAGAAGTACTTGTCCATCTTACATATTTTCAAAGCAATGAACTTCCATTTGTTCTTTTAAACATAACTGTATCCATGAAGTGCACACACCTTGTACAAAAATGAGAAATGTACAAGCCAGCTGCCATCTCAATGTGCTGTGCTGGGGTGGTGACTGGGGGCCGGCATAGACAACAACCTCCTACTTGCACAAGTTGCCGGAGGGGGTGAGCCAGAGAGGGACACATATTGTGTGTGTGATTCTTCCGTCCAACACTCTTGTTTTCAATACCTAACAATTAGATTACAATTAGAAATATTCCAAACATTTTAATCTACTAATTCATTTTTAGGAATATTCAGATTAGGATGATGATGTGCATTTGAGAAAAAAAACAAATAAACATGATAAATTTTTTTGCACAATACTTATCCTTTAATTTAGTTATTCATTGAATTTCTCTCAACCTTTTACATGAAAGAATGGAATGACAAATTTGCATCCTTAAGCAAGAAATATAATCCAAACTAATGGAACACTATGGACATTGAGGAAATATCTTAAAAACACCAAACACAATTCAATCCAAACCAAGCCGTTGTGCATATTATCCAATCTTTAGCATGTTTAAATTCTCCGAGCTGAAATTCCCAATGGCACTGAGCAAGTTGGACGCTGTTTCAAACCACGCATTACTAGTCCCTCACTCTTTTGCATACTCTTTCTGCTCTTCAATGGAGACACCAATCTAGTTGCCAATCTCGATGGTGAAAATGAACGGCGTAGTTTCGAGGCAGTTGACATCTTGGGAGACTTCTTGGCTATTTTTGTTGGAGAAAGAGAAGAAACCAATGGAGGGCTCTTAATCTTGACCTGAAACTTGGAAGCTGAAGGTGGAGACTTGATTAAGAACTTGTGTGGAGTCTGAATCCGTGGCTTACTATTATGTTCATTTCTACCAATGATTGGTGACCTTGTCCTGCAAAACTTCTGCTGATGTGAAGAAGAAGAAGGATCTGAGGACAAAAACAAAGGGTTGGGAAATAACACACTCTTTTTAGCCCATGGCCTATTCTTGGGAGACACTCTGTTTGCCAAGTATCTGTTGTTTTCTTTCAACACTTCTCTCTTGTTTGGAGGTGAAACCTTGAAATTGATTCGAGAACGAGCCCGTTGGAGTATTGGGGAACCTGATTCTGATTGAAAGGATTGAGATTTGTTGTGCTTCTCCTTCTTCCTTCTGGCCCTGAGTTCTGTGTTTTCAGGGAGTTGCCTCTGTTTCCTCTGTTGGGTCAATGGGGTTTTGGGGTCTTCCACAGTGGTTTTCTTGGTTTTACTACCAACTGCTGCTACTATTTCTCTTGCAAATTGACTTGCTTGTAGAATTTCTCCGACTGTTTCACCTAACAGCATTGCTGGCAATGACATTCTCTGCCACTCCCCTGAATATAAATAACAATGAAGTTATTGCCCAATTTGCTCTATTTGGTTTCCAAAATGAGGTTAGAAAAGAAAGAAAGAAACTTTAAATTCAAATTACAAACCCATTTGGTCCAATCTATGATTTCAGAGAGAGAGAGATAGAGAGAGAGAGAGTTACCTCCTGTATTTGCTGGAAACTTCCCAACAGGAGATTTCCTAGGGGCAGAACCTTTAATCCTTCATAAAGCAAAAGACCCATTTGAGTTCACATATCAAAATTGACCAAAACTAACCAAGGAGTTCAAATCAAAATCAAAGGCTGACTTAATGATACAAATCAAATTCAAATCAGATTCTTACCTTGCAGTTTCTTGTTTGCATCGGAGGCTAGTCCTTAGATAACCTCTAGTACTGCGAGGGCTGAGACTCACTCCGGAGATCACCTTTGTACCACCTGAAACTGTGTACTGTAGCTCCTGCAACCGAGCCATGCATCTATCCACCTTCACAAACCCACAAAATAACAAAAACCCATTACTTCAAAAGACAAGAAATTCCCACAGATTCAACTTCCACCAAAGATGATGCTTTGCTGCTGGGAAAGTGAAGGAAATGTATAAAAAATGAACTGAACTTTCAATTCAAGAGTTGGTCTCAGAGAAAAGAGAATGCTGTGCTGTTGGAAACCAAATAGCCGAAAGCTTTTATTTTTCTCTCTAAGAAAAAAATTTCATGTAGTTTACCTTCTTCACTGTTTCTCTTAGCAAAACAGGATTGAGAGGGGCTACCATTTTCCTCTGCTTTGGTGGGGTTCTCGCAACCATTTTCACTTGAAAGAGAAACACTAAGTGGGTCTCAAAGATCTCTCTCTCTCTCTCTCTCTCTCTCTCTCTCTCTCTCTCTAAATACCCATGAAATGGGTTTCTTTCATTTACTCTCTCTCTTTCCCTCTCTCCTTGGTTCCTTTTTGGCTTTCGCAGTTTGTCTCCGGAACTGAAAAGTCAAACGGGGCTAGAAGCAGAACACTTTGGTAACGGATCTTTTGTTATGTTTCTTTGCTGGAGTCCAACGGTCGAATTTATCCAATGAGAACGGCTACTTTTGGTTTCAATTTAGCCGCAAATTTTTCCTCTTTTAAAAGGGTGAAGCTGTGATTACGCATAGATCTAACGGTCGGTACCGTTTCTTACTTTAGTCATTGTGCAGCTGCAGTCCATCAACCACCATGGACACCATGCTCTACGGTACGAATTTGAACCATAGTGCATATCAGTCTCACATTTATATCTATAAATTCATTTTCCCCCTTTCATATGAATATAATTAATTTCCCCCCTTCTTGAATTATCCCTTTTCATTACTAGATTTGAATTCTATACAAATTCTCAATTGTTGAAAAAAATGTCTCATATTCAGACTGCAGATGTGATGTTGTGGCCGTAGGGTTTTCATATTTTCTCAGTTCAATCAGTATTCTAATTTATAACGGAATTGGCTCATGACTTCTTGAAATCTCAAATTTCATTTAACAAGGCAATACTAAGAAATGCTCGAAAACTTTGTAGGGAAAATATGAATGATTGGTGGTAAGCAAGAAGCATACAATTGCAACTCCCAGAAGTTAAAAGGTAAATACCAAAAAAAGAAAAGAAAAGAAAAAGGATTTACTGTTCCAAGGTGTTTGAAAATATAGACAGTGACTACTTCATTCATTGCATCTCATAAGAAACTCGGGAAGGCAGTAACAGTGATGGCCTTCTGTTATTTTTCATGCCTCTCAACTTGAGCGGACTCCAAATTACTGGTTTCCGCTGTAATGCAACAGCTGTTGGATGCCTCTCCTTTGCTGAGCCAAGCTGTGCCGGGGGACTACCCATGAACTTACTGCTCCTCCTCATGGTAGCTGGTGTTGTCTCAGCTTCTGTTGTCAACTCAGGCATTGGAGAGAACAGCCTGGAATACCGTGCCTTTCGTGGATCCCTCATGAATGACTGTCTGCCATTGTTAAATCGGGAGGCAGAAGTATGGAGGGGCGTCGTCATGTGAGAGTTTGGCTCAGGGCGATAGGTAGCAATGGAGACCCGTCTCTTAGGCTGAAGAATCTGCGAGGTTGTTGTAGTTGGAGGTCTGACAGCAATGGAGATTCGTCTTGGTAAAATTAGGCTTTTTTGGTTTCTTCCTGCCAATGTTGTGGAAATGTTTTCTTTGCCATCCATTGAAGATGGGACAACAGAAGTTGTATAGCTGGGTTTTTTGGGTGGTAAAGCTGGGGGCATGAAGTTGGTAATTCTTCGCAGAGGTAGCCTCGATTTTGAAGGAGCCAACGGTGGCTTCTTCTCTACAGCAGTCTTCTGGGCTGCTTGTTTCCGAAATGATGATGCTGAAGACTGATGAGAAGCAGCTGCAAAAGCTCTAGTCTCCTGTTTCAGTCTTGTCTTCCTTTCCTCTCCTAATTGGTTCTCAAGGTCTCGAACCTATTATGGACAAATGTAGTTGTTAATCTATGAATACACTAATAAAAAAACTCAGTAAGAAATAAATCAACGTCCCAAAACTCGGGAAAATTGTCTCTTTGAGTTGTATTGAGAATGGAATACCTTTTCTTGTAGATTTCTGCAGATGTGTTCTCTTGCAGCAAGCCTCAACTGCAAAGACTGTAAGCCATCCTGTAGTTTTTTTGTTTCCTTCTCATCTTGCTTAGCCTTTTCTGCCTGTTACATTGGAAATCTAAATATTTTAATATTTTGAAACCAAGAGAAGAAAGAATAAAAGTAAAGGGTTAAATTACTATAACATACCATTTGTTTGTACTTGAATAGCTCAGTGAGGTCTGCCTGTTTGCGAGCAGGGCCACTCTCTATTCCCCGGACCCGGCTGGCAAAATTCAAGGAACACAGTGTCTCTCCAAGATCTGAGGCACTTGGGCTGATCTGGACAAACATCAAGGTTTTGCAATCTCCTCCTGCAAGTCAAATTTCAATCAACATCATGCATGTAGAACCAAATTAGAGAAGCCACTCACATTAAGTAAAATACTACTACAAAGGCTCACCTAGAGAACTCTGCAGCATATGAGTCAGCTTCGAATTCCTGGTTTTTGCAAAAGAATACAAATTTAGATACAGTAAGCAAATGTGAATAAGAGAGAGAGAGAGAGAGAGAGAGAGAGAGAGATGCCTATAAGGAATGTGGGCTGTTTTAGATGCAAGGGATGAGATAACATCACCAAGGGCCGAGAGAGATTTGTTTATAAACTGAGATTCCTTCAGTCTTTCACCTTCAACATCAATCCTCCCCACACGCTCACTACCAGCCAAGTCTACTAGCCAAAGTTGACTCCTAGTCCTCTGCCCATTTATCAAGTTCTCCCCCTTAACAGTCACTCGCAACAAGCTACATAAAAGAAACTTGAACTCATTACAATCATAAAAGGAGAAACTGTATGTTCACTCTGATTTGAAATATTCAGAGTACATGTGATTTTGCATGTAGTGTTTACAGGAAATCTTGATCCATTTTGCAAGTGATCTGGTAGAGAAACAAGCTAGAGTCTGAAAATGTAGAATTTGGGAAATTAGGAGCATGAAAAATACCAGTGAGAACGGCTGCTCAGCTCATTAGCACTGGTAGATCCAACAGATCTAGCTCGGCTTCCAGACTTCAAAAGTTCCCACATCTCTTCAAAGCCATAAACACACGCTTCAACAAGTCCTGGAACATCTATGGTTCCCTCTGCAACTTGCTTTATTTCCAACCTTTGTTCACATAACACAATATGTATTATGGCTCAACATTATATCCTCTAATTGAGATTCTTAAGATGCCAACAGATAAAACAATATTACCTCTTCAAAGAAAAAAAGTCAGCCAGTTACAACATTTCTTTAGAAGTTATGCCCAGAGGGCAATCATATTTTGGTTCTTCAACATCTTAAGAAGCCAATAGATAAAACAATATTACGTCTTCAAAGAAAAAAGGTCAGCCAGTTGCAACATTTCTTTAGAAGAATTTAAACCCAGAGGGCAATCATTTTTTGGTTCTTCAACATCTGAAGAACAGCCAAGTGCATGTTGATACTTGATTCAAATAAATTTTCTGTATGAAAGGTAGCAAAGCCTACTCAATTAAAATGTAAGCAAAAGAAAACTCACTTCTTTGTTGGTTGATTGGTGCTATCGACCAAGAGGTCCCTTATCTTCTCATTATAAACCTCCAGCATGCTAACACATAATTCATATCTCATGAAACCACCTCTGTCTTTTGAAATCCGAAACAACTCCTCCAGAGTCCTGTAGTTAACACCCCTATTTTCAGGGGTTCCCTCCATTGTAAAAGTCTTACCAGTCCCAGTTTGTCCATAGGCAAAAATGCAGACATTAAAGCCATCCAATACTGAAGTCACAATGGGTTTAGTTTGAGCAAAAACAGCCTCTGCATATTTAAAAAACTCAGCATCAGTGATACAGAATCAGTTTAAAATTTATTCATTGTAACAAATCAACTGTGGAGTATTAAGCCATGCAATTACAAATCAGTATGACTTGTTAGATACCTTGGTTGTCCTCAGGTCTGAACACATGGTCAAACTTAAACTGCTTTTTTGAGGAATCAGAGCAAATGACCTGGAGCTCATTATCTAAGGAGGATTCGAATTCAATAACGGAACTAGATCCAGTTGAAATTTCATTTGGATTCAAAGGTCTACATCTGCAGAAAACCCTGATGTTGCCTTTAAGCTCGATTACTTCATTGTAAAGTCGCTTCCGCTCAGAGGACTCATCAAGGTACTTCTTCTTTAAAAGTTCATGTTCCATACCTAGAGAGCCAGCAACAACCGATTACAATCAAAGAGAAAGGAGAGTTGGTAACTAATCATGAATGATCAATGCAAAAGGCTCACTTAGCAGTTGAATAGTGTTTAAAACTTCAGGGTCTGGAAAGGAATGTGTAGTGAGCTTGACTTGATCAGACAAGACAGTATGGTCTTTCTTCAAATCCTGTAAAACAAGTGCAAATAAAAGATGAATTAGAATGTTAGCCGTAAAAGAGCAAAAACAAAAACTTTTTGTAAATTCGTTGACCCACATTTCACCCTGTGGTAGTCAATCATTAAAATTTAAAAGGAAAAGAATATACAAATGTTTTCAATAACTTTCTAAGATTTCCTAGAAGCAAATTGAAATACAGGATGCTATATTTAAAAAATTACCTGAATTTTGGCACTCAAATCAATGATCTTCTGCAAAATTGGAAGGGTCTGTCCCTGATATGACGAAGCTTCTTGAGTTCCATTTGACTCACTACTCTCATCAACCAAATCAGAACCCTCAACTTCTTGTGTAGCAATACCTGAAATAAATTCTAAATCATTAAACACGTTGCAGAAGCAATATGTATATGTACCATGAGAGAGAGTGGGTGTTAGCCGTCTAGTTACCGAGAAAATGTTATAATGGATATGAAGATTAAGGTTGGTGAACCACTCATCAAAACTTAAACATGCAAATCACCAAAGAAAGAACAAAAAGAAAATAAAGAATTTATAGTGCACCTTAGTTTGTTTTTAAATGTCATTTCAACTACTAATTTTACATCTGTAATATCACAGTTCAGTTGTAATAATTAAAATCTTTAATTTAAATATATAAAAAAAAACAAGAGTTGTAGAAAATACACACCTTTGTCGTTGACATAACCGTCCAACTCGCATGTCGCAGCTTCTAGGGTTTTAACTGGAAACATAAAAGATTAAATCTAATCAGAAAATTTCCCAATTTTACATTCTCTTGGACTGAAAATAAAATAATAATAATAAAAATCAGTAATAATCGCATCCAACCTCAAATTCAAGTTTGAAATAAACAAAACCTCAAATTCAACATTTTCTTGTAATTTTGAAACTAGAAAAGGGGAGAAAACTTAACCACATAAAACACAAACCTTTATCGGATTCTAAAACAAAGTAACATTTCATCTTTTTTTCCTTTTCATTTCAAAATTCGGAATTAGAGAATAAAAGAGGAGGAGAAGAAAACGAAATTGGAAAATGAATAAAACAAAACAAGAGCACGTACTTGTTTCGGAGGCTGAAGAAGGCTTGGAATCGTGATCTGGAACAACATGGTCGCAATTTTCAGGGATCATTTCCACCATTTGATCTGAATAAAAGAAGCAAAATTCGTCATTATTACACCGTTCGAACAAGGATTTGGGAAAATTAAATAAAAAACAAGAAATCATGAGAGAGAGAGAGAGAGAGAGAGAGAGAGAGAGAGAGAGAGAGAGAGAGAGAGAGAGAGAGAGAGAGAGAGAGAGAGAGAGAGAGAGAGAGAGAGAGAGAGAGAGAGAGAGAGAGAGAGAGAGAGAGAGAGAGAGAGAGAGAGAGAGAGAGAGAGAGAGAGAGAGAGAGAGAGAGAGAGAGAGAGAGAGAGAGAGAGAGAGAGAGAGAGAGAGAGAGAGAGAGAGAGAGAGAGAGAGAGAGAGAGAGAGAGAGAGAGAGAGAGAGAGAGAGAGAGAGAGAGAGAGAGAGAGAGAGAGAGAGAGAGAGAGAGAGAGAGAGAGAGAGAGAGAGAGAGAGAGAGAGAGAGAGAGAGAGAGAGAGAGAGAGAGAGAGAGAGAGAGAGAGAGAGAGAGAGAGAGAGAGAGAGAGAGAGAGAGAGAGAGAGAGAGAGAGAGAGAGAGAGAGAGAGAGAGAGAGAGAGAGAGAGAGAGAGAGAGAGAGAGAGAGAGAGAGAGAGAGAGAGAGAGAGAGAGAGAGAGAGAGAGAGAGAGAGAGAGAGAGAGAGAGAGAGAGAGAGAGAGAGAGAGAGAGAGAGAGAGAGAGAGAGAGAGAGAGAGAGAGAGAGAGAGAGAGAGAGAGAGAGAGAGAGAGAGAGAGAGAGAGAGAGAGAGCGTTGTTCGTTTTAGGACCGGAGGTGTTTGTCAGGGTAGGGTTTTGATTGCGTTGAGTTTGAAATTGAGTGAATCACAGCCGTCGGTTTAAATGGAAGGAGCTCTTTCTTTCTAACGGCTATCAAAATCTTCTCACTGGGCCATTAATGGCCCAATTGGCCCAATCGGTGAGAAGTAAAAACGACGCATAGTTTGACGTCGACTTATTTATAACTACGATGCAACATTCACGTCGTTTATTAATATGTATATTAATAAGAGGTACAATTTTGTTAGGCCTTGATTGGTTTTCTTCCTAATTCCCATAAAGATCTGCACTCAATCACAAAACAAATAAATAAATTTATATCTAATAAAACATAAAAATCTCTGTAACTTTGCTCCTATAACTACTTTTCCAGTGGCTAAGTTCATCATTCATGGCTTCCACATCCCCAAACTGCTTGTTTTACTTCTTCTCCCCTTCTTCGATATCCAACTCAACCTCAACCTCAACCACACAATTGCCCTTATCTTATTCTCACTCTATCTTTAATGGGTGCAATGGGATTTCACTCACCAAAGCCTGGCCTTCTAGCTCATCAAGAATTTGTGCCAAGTTTGAACAGTTCCAAGGTGAGCCTCCCCAGGACAATCTTGAAGATACAACACCACCAACCCTAGAAGCATTTGAAGAAGATGGTGAGCAGGAGGAAGAAGATGACAGGTGACTTAATTTCTTTCATAATTTGGGTTTTATGCAGTTTTTCTTTCATAATCTAGTGTGCATATAAAGTACAATTGGGCTGATTGTGGAGGGAGAATGGTGATTTCCATTTTATGTAAATGAATAATTCAAGTGTGTTCTTTGAGCTGCAGTTAATTTTGAATTGAGATTAAAAGGAGCTGCAATATCTATGCTTTTACGTAATATTGTTTGGAAATCGGGCATTGATGTAATTTGTTTAATGGTTCAGCTGCTTGCCTTCTGACTTGGAGGGTGCAGTCCGGCAATCGGGTGAAGCAAGTGCAACATTTGTGTCTTCAGGAGGATTGAGAGCCATAGTACGTGCCATAACAAAATGTAATCTGATTGATACATGTTTGAACAAATTTGTGCTGAAATAGGAATATTATATTCTTGTCTCATAGTTGACATTCTTTAATTTTCTTGGCTTGTCTGCTCAATTTGTTCTGTAATTTCGTTACAGGTTGAGCTTTTAATCCCCCAGCTGCAATTTCTTGATGAAGAAGGTGCACAAGCTGAGCTCTGGGAATTGTCAAGGGTTTTCTTGGATACGCTTATTGAAGAAACTGGTGGTCAGGTTAGTTGAAAATGTTTCTTTAGTTAGAAAACTTTAGTAAGTGATTTTTATCCAAGAAATAATCTCAGTTGATAAGTTATGCTAATTTAATTGTTAGAGAGTTAAAGCCATATTTCCTGATGCTGGTGCCGCAGCACTTCTAAAATACCGGTGGAAAGATGCTGCTTTTGGATTCTCCAGGTAATTTATACCATCCCACTAAGTCTTCACTTTGATTAGTCATCCTCTTCAGTTGAATTCTCTTAAGCTTACTTTTGGTTCGCATTTGTGGCTTTAATCTTAATCTTCTGTCCCCTAATATCCAGCTTAAGTGACCGAAAGCCGGTACAGAGTGAAGATGAGATTGTGGTTATGGTTGTTCCTGATTATCAGATGTTGGAATATGTAGAGAAGCTTGCATCTACTCTCTCAGATGATCCGGTAAGCTAGTGATTCTTACCGTTGCATACCTTCTTAACTTAAACTTACTGAATAGCATCTCAAAGTGGGAAGGATAATTTTCAACATTTTCTTGTGCATTGGCAGCCAAGGCCTCTCATCATGTGGAATCCCCGTCTCATCAGTGAGGATGTTGGAGTTGGATTCAATGTTCGAAAGCTAAGGCGGTACTTTCTGAGGTATAATTCTGATCTCTCTGCATTCATATATGGTCATTCTTAATTTTTACTTTCCGCATTTGTGTTGTGCAGCACTTTTACAACGGTGTACTCAATGAGGCCTATGCAGTCTGGTGCTGTCTTTAGGTGCTATCCAGGGTAAGGGATTTAAACATCTATCAAATTCTTAACATTTAAATTGGCTCCTTTGGTCTATGGTTTCAGCCGCTAAGGGCTATGGTTTCTGCTCGTTTACCAGGTCATGGAAGGTGTTCTATGATGACAAGGATAGACCAAACAGATATCTGCTTGCCAAAGAGCTCATTAGGCACCCGGATGCCGAAGAACTTGAGGTTAGTTACTTGTTGCCAACTCCTTCACTTGAACAGATTACACAAAAATTATAAACAAGCTCAATGGCATTGGTTTGATCTTTTGCAGATGATATTTGGAAATGTAGATGAGAAGTCAGAGCAGGGCCAATCTTTGTTTGATCAAGCGGCAGGGATCTTCTCTTCACTAAATCGATTTATGAGGGTCATTTCAAGATAGACTTTGTCTCTGATCTATCTCCTGCATTGTAATGTGTATTGTGTATAATATTTTCTAGCACGAACCCAAGTTGTGTTTGCTGCTTTACGTCTGCTGTTTTTAGTGAAAACAAATGAAAGAAAGACAGAATACACATTTTTCGTATCACTGAAATTGAGTGCATCTGGCATATAATTTCTTGAGCAAGGCAGCTTTAATGATCTCTTTTACAGGCAACCCAAATCAGCATTTCTGGATTTCAATTTCTTCCTCCTATAAATACAGTGGCAACCAGCTACATGTTTTGTTTGACTATGAAGACGGAAGATACTATGTTAGCAACATATGTGCTCTAAAACAACTAGTCAAAACCAGTCTACATGTTGTGTTGAAGCTTTAGGTTGCTTCTTCGGCTTTCGATACCGATTGTTCTCAAACCTGGCTTTAACTATAAGCGAGTATAGCAAATCTGCCTCGGCTGAACTATCATAAGGCATGTTCAAGATACTACAAAATCAAGAGTTACCACACAAAGGAAGAGTTAATTCACAAAGGAAGAGTTAATTAAAACATTAAACAAGGAAGGAACAAACAAGATAAGTTTTCTTTTGTTCTTGAAAATTAATAACCACCTGTCAAGTAACTCCTCCAAGATAATTCTCTGTAAAGGTGTAACATAATGAATGCAACTTCTTGGGCACTGACCAACTGCAAGTTGAACTTGGTAATCATCCCCAACTCCTATTAACACACATACAGAGTGGACTTTAATCAGAAAATTAGCAACCTATTCCACTTTCTACAACTACAACCATCCTCAAAACCATAGCATAGGCTTCATCTTCTGTTCCTGTATCTACAAACAAAGACGAAAACAAAACGAAATAATTAAACCAACCTAGAGAAGTTGCTCTTGCCGTCCCGGTTGAAGCATAAGTGAAGGCATGAGGAGCTCTTTGTACACATGAATATGGACAACCTGCAGATTTTTTTTCTTCTTTAAGTGCTCCTCATTCTTTATAATCTGATCATAAAAAGAATCAAAGCTTTATACCTTTTCCAACACAAAGAACCTCGTTAACGAAAACATCAAATGCTTCACATTCTGGATTATCAAAGGGATCTACACATTCCCTACAAATTCATCACCAACAGTCAAGTATTACAACAAGGAAGCAAATAACAACAGAAATATAATAGAATTTGAACTTAAAATGGACAAAAATGATAAATTATATACATATATAATACACCAAACAAACTCCAAGTTTACCTTTCAATTATCTCCGATCGGCTGTAATTTGATAACATCTGCACACATTATATTAACCACCATCATTATCAATTATTCTCTTTTAGCAAAACTCCAATTTTTTTTCCCTTGAAAAATATTATAGAAAAAATATTTATAAATAAAAATGGCATCTTTAAATACAGAAATACCTCATAGGCCTGAATTACACGGCGAATCATCATATCAGAATATTTCCCGGTCCTATTTACATCAGGATGAAACTGCTTCACCTATTTTTTTCACAATCAAAATATGAATATTTGAATTAAACAACATATATATACAAAAATGAATGCCATATTTAATTTTTCTTTAATAAAAAGAAGAATGAAGATAAATACTTTGGCGCGGAAAGCGGCTTTAAGCTCGGTGGCTGAGCAGGTGGGCTGGACGCCGAGAATAGCGAAAGCGGATGAAGTACCGGAGGGAGGAGCATCCTCTCCGGTGCACTCTCTGCAATTCTTTAGTGTGAATTTGTGACGGCGGTGAGTTTTAACGGCTTTTTGAAATGGAAAAATTGGAGGTGTCCAACCGCACACGGATAAACGTTCCATTTCTCTCTCTTAACTTTTACGCGGGGCTCTGCTATTCTGTTAATTAGTGAGTGGAGTAGAAGACTAAAACGCTGCGTTGGAGCTTCTGTGGATCCCTCCTCCTTTTTTTTTTGGTTGGAATCCCTTCTGAGCAAATTTTAGATGAATACATTTTTATTCTATTAATTCCTTTTTTTTTTTCTGCGGGTGTGAAAGGCAAAAAAAACTAAAAGACTAACCAGGTTTGAATTTTCATGAAATTCTTTTTGCATGATATGATATCAATATAGCGAGAAAATATTGAGATGATATCGAAATGACGAGAGAATATTAAGAGTATATTGAGATAATATCGATATAATTGGTCTATTTGAGAGCAATGCTCCAGTAAAATAAAAGTTCTATTAATTTGATTGGGAACTAATTGATAGTGAGAAAACAATTTATTTTACACACATGATTTTGATATTGCCAATAATAATATTATACAGACATAAACACACTCACAAAGGACTTTCATGAGCCCTCAGTATGAAACTTCACACAAGCAAAAGGCCAAAAGAAATTAAAAACAACTGGTAAATGTAAAAGTTTTACTATATATCTTGTTCAAGCCATAGTTGGAGCTTCAAATTCCCCTTCTTTCGAGACATTTTTTCAACATTGGCACAACAGAGGACATAAGGGGTCGTTTGTGTGGACTCTCTTCTGTGCAAATCATCCCTACCTCAAGCAATTGAATGCTGCATTGCTCAAGCTTCTCTAAAGCATCATGTGTGCCTTTTGAGCACGCCTCCTGCTTCAGTGTGGTGTCAACAACATCCCAAATTTGGTCTGGAAATGCAGAACCCACCCACTTCCTTAGATCAAGCCCATCCGAAAACACATCACTTGTCGGTCTTTTTCGCGTAAACATCTCGAGCAGAACCACACCAAAGCTATACACATCCCCTTTAGCTGATACCTCAACTCCCTGCCCATATTCTGTTTCACAAGCAATATATATATACAGATGGTTGCTCAGAATTGCTTTAGTTTCTGGTGTTTCTGATATATGAAAGTGATGTATGTTCATGTGATATGCATACCTGGGGGAATATAACCAATCGATCCTCGAAGAGAACGCGTTGTGCTAAGATATTCTTCCATTTTGTCAGCTGAAATGAGCTTTCCAATCCCAAAATCTGCTACCTGAGCCACCATATTTGTGTTGATAAGCACATTTTCTGGTTTCAGGTCACAATGTATCACTTGGACTGGACAGCCTTCTTGAAGATACTCCAAGCCATTGGCAATATCAATAGCTATGGAGATTCTTTCCCTTAAAGTCAGCTTACAAGCTCCTTCCTCTAGCCCACCAGGATAAAGATGTTGTGCCAAGTTCCCATTGCCAATAAAGTCAAGGACAAGAGCCTTGAACCCTCCGTTCCAGGCATACCCTACCAGTCTAACGAGATTCCGGTGCTTGATTTCAGACAATATTTGACATTCCCTCTTAAAGCTTTTGAAACTCTGATTGCTGTCACCATGCAGGACCTTAACTGCCACAGTACTTTCCCCATTATCAATGATTGCTTTATAGACTGATCCAAAAGTTCCTCTACCCAGAAGATTAGCCTCATTGAACCCGAGTGTTGCAGTTTCGAGTTCCCTTTCGGTGAAACTTCGACTTCCATGCTTTCCTGGGGGTGCCATTAGCATTCCATGCGCTGTCTTTGAATATTTTCTGAAGAAGAAACGATGAACAAAGACAGCACCCACCACACAGCTTACTGCAACTGCTGCAACCACAGAGTAAATTACCCAATTCTTTGTCCTGCCTTTTTGCTTTTGAACTTCACATGGAGGAAGACCAAGTTGTGCAGAACCACCACACAACCCCACATTACCCAGGAATGAGCTTTTATTAAAAAATGTAATCCTCCCAGTATATGGAACTTCACCTGATAGATTATTATAAGATAAATTGAGATTCTTGATCATATGTTCATCAGCAATCCAGATTGGAACAGTGCCATTTAATCGATTATGAGACATGTCCAAAACTTCAAGATAAGTGATTGATTTCAAAGACCTTGGAATTGTGCCTTCAAGCATGTTTTTGGACAGGTTCAGATACACCAAAGAAATGCAACTTCCAATCAAGCCAGGTATGACACCAACAAATTTATTCTTCGAAAAGTCGATTGCCTGCAGAGACACCAGCTTTCCAATGCTTGTTGGCAGTTGTCCTTCGAAATGGTTGTTTGAAAGGTTAAGTGAGAAGTCTAAGTTTGAAAGAAGGCCAATCTGTACAGGAACAGAACCTTGTAAGCTGTTGAAAGATAAATCGAGCAGCATCATAAGAGAACAGCGAGTAAGATCAATGGGAAATTTTCCTGATATGCTATTCGTAGACAGGTTAAGATATCTCAGCTGTGAAAGGTTACCAAGTGAAGGTGGAATAGACCCACCAATCAAATTTTTACCAAGATCCAGTAGACCAAGGCTAGACATCTTCCCCAAGTCATCTGGAATTGGCCCAAGAATTCTGTTTCTCTCCAAGTATAACCTCTGCAAATTCCCAAGCTCTCCAAATGATGGTGGAATTTTTCCTTCCAAAAGGTTGTATGACAGCTTTAAGGTTACTAGGCTGCTTAAGTTTCCAATACTGTCTGGTATACTTCCCATAATGGAATTATTGAAAAGATTGAAGTAAAAGAGGTCTTTTGAAAGACCACCTACAGAAGACGGTATATTATCTTTGAACGAGCATGAACCAAAGTGTAGCTTTTTTAGAACCGAACAGTTTGTGAGAGCTGTTAAGAAACTGAGGGAAGAATTACCAGAGCTGCCGCCACCTAAGTAGTAGTTGGAATGAAAGTAGAGAATCTCAAGGTTCTTTAACATTCCCAACTCTGCAGGAACTTCGCCCTCTAAATTGTTGCGACTGAGATCAAGCAGTGTGAGCTGAGAGAGATTGGAGAGGGTCACTGGAATTCTACCAGAAAGCTTGTTCTCAAGCATGTGCAATTTCTGCAAGTTCTGGAGTTTGGCACCCAGCTCTAAAGGGATTTCTCCACTCAACAGATTCTCAATCAGCGAAATCTCACGTAAAGCGGTGCAGTTGCTAATTGCTGCAGGTACTGGTCCCTCAAGAAAGTTCGTATGGAGGTACAGAATCTCTAGCTTTCTTAATGCTCCAAGCTGTGGTGGGATCTTTCCGGTAAAATAATTGACACCCAGTTTTATTTGTGTCAATTCCGTCAAGTTTGATAGTGACGACGGCAGCTCTCCAGTGAGTCTGTTTACAGACAGACCCAAGTATGTTAAGTTCTTCAGCCAGCTGAGTTCCTCAGGAATGACCCCAGAAAGATTGTTGACATTCAAGTCTAGTTCTTTCAAGCTTTGGCAGCCATGCAAAGAACCAGGAATCTCACCTTCAAGCTTATTTTCGCTTATATTGAGAAATGCTAACTCTGAAAGTCCTCCCAAGGAAGATGGAATTTGTCCATAGAATCTGTTGCCTTGCAGAGACAGGGTGGTAAGAAGAGAAAGATTGGATATGAATGGTGATATCCCTCCTTGCAAAACCATGTCTATGAGCTCAAGACCTATCACTCGGTCTCGGAGATGTGGGTGGCATGTGATTCCAGTCCAGTTGCAGAAGGGATTGGCTTCGTTCCAAGTCTTCAGATGACCTTCGGGATCGCTTCTTAGGCCCTGCTTGAATTTAAGAAGAGCATGACAATCAGTGGATTCTTCACAAAGAAATGCAGAACTAAATGGCAGAACAAGTAAAATGAAGACAAAGCAGCCAATCGTTGCCCTGATACAGTTTAGATTGTATGCCATTTCTCTCTCTCTATATTCTTTCTTTCTAGAGCAATTTGTATTTTTGGGTGAAGTTGTTCTTTCTGTTTGGACTAATAAAAATCTTTCCAAGGAGTATCGGCATTGGGGGCCACTAATTAAAACAACTTCTAGTAGTCAATAGCCTTGGCCCTTGATAATAATATAATAATAATAATAATAATTCATCGCTCTGATTAGAGAGCAGTAGTTGAAAGCCATAACTGAAGTTTGCTGTTGAAAGCCACATAATTTGAACCAATGTTTCATACTGACCTGACAAACTCAAATCTCAGCTGTGAAAATTATATAATTACAGTTCTTCGTCTTTTTTCTCAACAGACAAAATAGGAATACATTAATTTGATCCTACTCAAAATGTTGAGAAGCTAATTTTCTATACGGGCTTTTTATCAAGTAAAATGCTGCCAACAATATAAATACACACTCAAAAGAGGACTTTCATGGGCCCTCTTTATGAAACTACTTCACACAAGCCAAGCCAAAGGTGAAAACAAAAAACAAAATGTATATGTCACAGTTGGAGCTTCAAATTCCACTTATTTGCAGACATTTTTGAAAACTCTGCACAACAGAGGACATAGGGGGTCGTTTGTGTGGATAATCCTCTGTGCACATCATCCCCACATCACGCATTTGAATGCTGCATTGCTCAAGCTCCTCTAAAGCACCATGTGTCCCTTCCAGGTATGCATCCTGCTTCAGTGCGGTGTCAACAACATCCAAAATCTTCCAAGACTTGTTGCATTGACAGTTTGACGTTTTGTTCCCTGGGCCCCCATCATTTAATCTGGTAGTCAATAGCTTTGGCCCTTGGTAACAATAATTCATCGCTGTTTACAGAGCATTTGTTGAAAGCCATAACTGAGGCTTCTTTTGCAAGCCACATAATTATTTGAATAAATGTTTCATGCTGAGTCACCTGATAAACCCAAATCTCCAGCAATTCACAAAGAAGAAATATCAGACATATTTTTTCAGATTTAAAGTTCTCCAACCAACCCAATACACCTACTAACCACCCTTGTTCATCAGAAACCCTTCAATACACCCAAAATAGCAAAAGCGAACTTCACAATGCAAATATAAAATGGCAGCAGGGCTACAGGGGACCATCTTGGCAATCAATTCTTTCTGAGTTGCAATGTAAAAGATAACCATTCATTATACCTTATGCTACTAGTGTTCTCTTTCGTTCAGTCTACAAAGCGAAAGGGAAAACCCAGTTTTGTACCAGCTTCTTTAAAATTTATCCTGCCGGGGTGAAAAATATGCCGGATAAGAAATCATAATCCCGCATGCAAAAGTTCAACAGTTGAACTTCTCTTAAGATAATATTAACACAGAAAATTTGTATAATAAAGGAATGACAAACCTAAATCATTCTTCATTTTCCTCCAGAAATACAACCTTCATGGTTTTGGCAAGTCTGTAATAAAGAATTGGCTCTTATCTCTTTTCATGATCACCTAAATAGTAGATTATAAACCTCTAATTTGGTACATATCCTTCATCTGTCATAAGTCTATACAGTTCTGCCAGAACTCCATAAATGATCTCTGCTTGTGGATGCATTCTATCCCCAACAACAAAGCTCTGAACTTTGTTTTCAATCTCAATCCAACTAATACCTGTTTCTTTTGCGACCCCCATTTCCTTCATCCCCTTAATGGTCCTTGCTCTCTCTTTCCACCTTCCTTCAGAAGAATATATATTCGCTAGCAAAACATATGGTGCCGGGGTCTCAGGTGCTGCCAAAAGCAACTGATCTGCAGCATATTTACCAATCTCTGAATCACCATGAATGCTACAAGCACCAAGCAATGCTTGCCAAACAAGTATACCCGGATTCTCAGGTAGTCCCTCAATGAAATTTTTGGCCTCAGTGAGAAGTCCTGCACGACCTAACATGTCAACGACACAAGCATAGTGTTCTGGTCTTGGACTCATCCCAGGGTCCTCATTCATGGAGTTCAAAAATTCCATGCCCCTTTCAACGAAGCCAACATGGCTACAAGCATGAAGTAGAGACAAAAATGTAACATCTGTTGGTTGTACACCATCCATTTTCATATCTTCATATAATTGTAATGCTTTGGAGCCATCTCCATGACGGGCAAAAGCTGCAATCATGGAATTCCACGAAATTGAGTTCCTCTGAGGCATCCTACTGAACACTTTGACCGAATCCTCCAACTCTCCACACTTGGAGTACATATTTATAAGCCCATTGCAGACAAAAGAGTTATGACCAAAACTTTTTTTGACAATTAAAGAGTGGAGTTGCTTCCCTAGACCTAAAGAAGTATCAACACCAAACACACCAAGAACAGCTGAAACCATGTTTGGGTCGATTTCAATTCCTGCTTTCATCATTTTCGCAAATATTTGGATCGCTTCACTCTCAAACCCATTTTGTGCAAATGCCACAAGGATGACAGTCATGGAAATCTCATCAAGTTCTTCAGTGGATTCAAATATTCGCCATGCATCTTCCACGCTGCCACACTTCGAATACATGTCCATTAGTGCACTCTCAATGCACAAGTCTGATTGAATTCCCAGTTTCCATGCAAGTCCATGAATTTGACGCCCTACACTTATTGCCTGCAAACCAGAACATGCAATGAGTGACGCCAAATAAGTCAACGAATTTGGATCCACCACTCCACTACGCATCTCCAAAAACAATTCCAAACTTTCCACGTATAATTCATTTTGTGCGAGCCCCGAAATCATTGCCGTCCATGTAATCACGTTCTTCTCAAACATCTCTTCGAAAACCCGCCTTCCTGAACCGAAACACACACATTTACAATATGATGTGATCAAAGCATTCCCCACTGCAGTTTCCCGCTCAAATCCATTCAAAACCACCAAACCATGCATCATCTTATTCAAGTGACAAAACTCAGGCCCATCAAAAGCTGCTAAAATCGAAGTCAAAGTTGCTCTATCAAATCGATAAAAATCCGATCCACTCATTTGCTTAAAGTAGCCAAACCCAACATCAAACTCCCCGTTCCTTAAAAACCCAGATATCATTGTATTCCACGAAACTGTATCTTTCATGCCCATATTGTCAAACAGCTTAACAGCATAAGAAAATTGACCGCATTTGAAATACACTGAGAGCAGAGAATTCCAAACAATAACGACATTACGATAATCATCTTGACTCTCAGGGTAAAATAATTCAGGGTTCTTAATGATAGAGGCATGGAGGGAAGAGCCCAAGGGAAAGTTTCCTTCTTTTCCACAAAGAGAGAGAAGCAGGCTTATGTCCACATGGTTGAGGATCAATCTTGAGGTTGTTTCTGCAGAGGGGTTTTGGTGAACCTTGGCTTTGAAAGGAGAGATTAGAGACGAAGCACAAGAGGACAAGTAGTGAGAGTTGAGGTTCTGAAACTGAAAGACCCATCTGGATTTCATCCATGAAATTGGGGACACGGAGACCAGCTGCAATTCTCTCAGTCTCTTCAGATTTTCGCTTTCATGTTTCAGGCACAAAACACAATAGCGCAGACTAAACGGTGACTCTATTGGACCCAAACTTTTTAGGCTCATCAAATATAAGCCCAAAAATTGGGAACATGCAGCCCATTTGGGACCGCTTGGGCTGCCTGCTGCATTGGTTAGTGCACACTTGAGACATTCTCCCTCTTTCCTGCGGTACTTTTTTTACCTCCATTGATAAGAAAATAAGGGAGAAATAATGTGCAACACAAGATGATGTGAAACTCAAAAAAGAGACAATTCTCAGTTTGTATCTTTGTTTTATTCCTAACATCATTTGAGGAGGTTGATGTACCATGTTCGAGTACAAGCACATTGGGATAATGTTTTAAAAGTTGGACCTTGTTTCCTAACATTGGTCTTTGCTTGAGGAGCAAGATCTGTTGTGTATAATTCAACTATTACAACGAGCAAAGAAAAAAAAATCTTTAACCAACTCAACGGACTGTATGGACACCATGGTAATTCCATCCATCAAGAGTAACTCGGGGGGTGACACCAGGAGGGACCTCAAAAGAGATCTTGATGGGCATAGCTTCACCTGGCACCAGCGAAAAATAGTTGTCTGAATAATGAACAGGAAGAATTCTTGTGTCTTCTCCTTCCTTATGGTCTGTCTTCAATCCATGAACTGAAAAATGAAGGAAGAAAGCAACGCCTGTGTCGTTGCCGTTGATTTCAGCAACCCTCAAACCATCATTCTCCTTTGTGAAATGTCTGGATATTTTCCGAAACCAACCAACTTCAAGCTCTTTGTCTGCTCCGTCATGTGTAGATTCCACCGATGCTACATCAAAATCACCATCACCTTGTTTAGTAGTGAAATTGTTTTGATAGGTTAAACTTTTCGGCACTGGTTTCTTAGATTTGTTCTGGATGCGCATATGCATTTCATAGGTGGTTCCTTTGATGGAAACCTGGGATGTAACCTTTAATGGAACTGTTTTCTTCCTGTACGGTTCTAACAGCTTGTAATCTCCACCAGACAGATGCAACCAGTAAAAGTTCCTGGATATAATGCGATAATCTGACATGTGATACAGCTTGAGAAGAAGAAAGTACACTGGCCTTGGGTTTTTAGATTTAGGATATTTCATCTCAGCAATTGGTACTGTTCTTTTTGGCGGCATGGACACCTTTTCATGAGCTATGTAGTATGGGCATGTTCCTTCTAGATCCCACACCGAGGCTTCTATAGCGACATCAGATAGTTCCTCTGATGTAGTGTTGACAACCTGTTCAAGGCATGAAGAGAAAATGACGGCAAGTTTCAAACCATGTTTATATGCTATTATGTTCCACTTAGATATGGATTCCTTCTGTGAGGACTTTTCTTTTTTTCTTTCTTTCTTTACAGGTAAATTTTCCACTAATTTCGGTATGTTAAGAAGAAATCAGAGCATATTTGTGCGTCGCCAATTATTAGTCTGATTATGATTTTGTTATAGAGCTTACCTCTATGACATATGTAGCCAAGTTAAGCTGGACATGGATTGGCTCCGCTGCGCATCGACAGCCATAGAAACCTGCTGTTTGGTCTAGAAAATGGTTGTAAAGTTGACCTCTAAGACCTGGCCAAGGATTCTGTGTTTTCCAAATCAAAACACCAGTGTATTTACTCCACATACGGGAAGTCCAACCCTCTAATAGAGCTTTATACTGAATGTAGTTAGCTAGTTGAGCCTGAAATGATGTAAAGTCAAATAGTCATAACATAGATAGTGTCCAAATGCACCCTGAATAATAAAAATACTATTTTACCTTCAAGCAAAAATCATCAAGATCCTTTGGCGACCCATAAAGCAAAATCTGGTCATGAACCTTGCCTGGTTTTGAATAAGGGATGTATTTATAGTGTACCCACATGCCGTTTGGAACTTCTTCATAATCATTGGAAACCTTCTTAAACAAAGGAATCTGCCATGCTTCTGGAGGCATTGTAGATCTGATGGTAGCTGAAACAGGCATACCTACAGAACCAACTTCAGGATTGAACCCATATTTGTAAAAGTCATCTTTAAAGAAGTCTTCGGGATTTTGAATTTCATAAGGGCCATCAGTGAAGTCCCCCTTTCCATTTGCAAATCCATCCCACAAGGACCCTTGGATGTAAATGCGTGTACCATCAAGATATTGGCTTGGATCCTCCGACCCTGCGGAAAAATCTTTAACAATCTTGCCACTCTCATTTGATGAGCTTTCAAAATATGGATGGAGCCTGAGGTCATGTTTCAAAGCTGCGTTGATGTCATATGGAGGAATTTGTTTACTTCCGCCCACCCAAAGGGCAAGACTTGGATGGTTCCTTAGAAGCTTGACAGTATCTCTTGCGCATAGCAAGAAAAGATCATGGTCCAGTGGACCCATTTGGATTTGATACTGGGACACCTCATCCGTTGACATCTCCAGTAATCCAAAATTCTTGCCAGACCTACAAAATTTAAATCAGCAGCAGTATGGATCAGATTCACCCAACTAATTCCATGGCCAATAAATTTTAAACCCTATGCTCTCAAGATTTAGCAGCTAAACCCTAAACCCTTTGTTCTACTGCCCTCCTTCCCCAATAAAACCTAGCTAAACATGCAGAGAGAGAGAGAGAGAGAGAGAGAGAGAGAGAGAGAGGCATAGCTTACCAACAGGCCATAAATATCACAGTAATGATAAAATTCTGGCCTCTCGGCCACTCCCCCTCCCCAACAACGGAGCATGTTAAGATTCATATCTGCGTGAAACTTGATGTCTGTTCAGTAACGCTCTTTTGAAAGTCGTAGGAGGCCATCTGACACTGTCCAATTACCACCACGAATAAAAATAGGCTGACCATTGACCTTGAACAACCTGAAGCGCAGAATGTACAGGTAACACAACATACACACCAGAAAAAGAGTTAGCATGTTGAAAAACTGCACATAACACAATAAACAAACACACACACACACACACACACACACACACACACATATATATATATATATATTATATAATTTAAAGTATACATAAATAGAATACCTCCCACCGGTGGTAGTATCAATGTGGTTATCAATTTTGCGGAATCCAAATAATTGGCTCCACAAATCAGATTCTCCGTATCCCTTTACATCGACAGTAATATCAACATTGTACAAGGATTGCTTTCCCATACCATTAGGCCACCATAAATTGGGCTTGTAGAAGAAGAGCTGTCAAGTTATACTATTTAGAACACAAGTATTGAATGTTGAATGCAAGATAAACAGATAGTCCAAAAGGGATACTAGAAATTTACTTTGTTCTATTAAGATAATAAAAATGCATCATATGTTCTTTCACGGACCTCAGGAAATGTATATTTCACCCGTGATCCAGCAGGTATTGACAGATGTTGAGTGTGAAGATGCTCTACTAAACAAACGTTTCCTTCAAGTTCTGTTGTGACTTGGATATTCAAAGAACACTCGGCAACCCAGGTACTTCTATTTTCCAACTCAGTTGTAGCATGAAGATATACCCTCTTGTAATTGTCAAAAAACGATGAAACCAAATGGGGATCAATTATTTTAACTGGCTGCAACAAAATGGTAATGAGTCAAAAATTGAACTTATACAAATAAATAACTAATATTTGACTGAAAATTGGTATCTGAAGATAATAAAAAATGCATGACCAAATACATTAGCAGTGCAGAATAACACGAAGGAAATTCTGACTGAAAGGGAAGCAAATTCACCCCTGTTACAGAAATTGACACCTCATCCCATATGCCAGTGCTTCTATCCCTGTAACAGTATATAAGCGAATTACAACAGAAATCTCTTGTGTACTGAAAATATCTATATAAAAATATCTGAAGATTCTGCAAGGGCAGGCAAGCAAATAGATCTGACAAGAAGTTTCTAGATCAAACTATTAGCCAATACACGAGAGGATGCATACAAATCATTTCCTTTATCACCATGGACTTTCAATACAGTGCATTGATTTTTCCTCCTAAACAGTAAAGGATAGCCCTTGAACCATTTTAGCTGGAAAGAGGTGGAAAAAATTTCCTCGACAAACAAAAAGTATGCTGAAACGTTTTCTGGCATCCCAAATTAGAAAGAAGATGAAAGGGATATCATGATCACAAAATACTAAAGAAAACACTCTACAATCTTAATATGGTAAAACACAGTCACCTTATAGGGCAAATCCAATCCCAACCCTCCACATATTGTGCAGCTACATCTTTCCCGATCTGAAATGAAAATTAGATACAGTAAGGCACTTGCCTCAATTTAATAATGAACTCTTTTCAAGTCACCATTGCTCTTGCATGAGACCCAGTATCTGAATGTAATTCTGAAATTGGTAATTAGTAGAAGGATAAAACTTTGAGCAAAAATCTAAAAGAAACAGCATGTAATCAAATAGGTTTTATGGATATGGAAGTGTACCTCATGATCGCCACCTTGCCCACCCTCAGGAGGAATAGTCCCGGGATTATCTGGCGAGTAAACACGAACAGCAAGCAAATTTCGACCATCAGGATGCGCTATATCAGTGACATCAAGAGAATGCCTTCGAAACATCCCTCTTGGCAGGTCTTTTTTGTGCCCATTTAAATATACCTCTGCGTAGTAATCGATTGCGCGGAAATTCAGATCCAGGAACTGTGTGCTGGACTGGAAAAAGGGTGAAGCAAATTTAGAGGAAAACTAAAGTGAGAGCAATCTTACAAATCTTTCTTAAATTGCATTTATCATTTAAGTCGGATATGGCTTACCAGTTTACACCGAAAAGTTGTGAAGAGCCAGAAAGTGTAGTACTGCCTCCCGGATTCAGTAATATCTATGATGTAATCGTTTTGCAGTTCATAGAAAGGATCGGGTACATCTTTGCCCTTCACCAAGGTTGCCATAACACTGTCAATTAAAACATCTATGATCATTGATAGCCAAGTTTTGATTCAAGAAGTAGATTTGTTTCATCAGTTGGTTGCTTCAATCAAGATGGAGTTAGATGAATTAGCAACAATAACCAAAAATTATGCTCTACATACACTAGAATGCTAGAAATGAATCTAGTCAGAATTCCTGAAGCATCTTTGTATTTGTAATTAATGTTGAAATACAGGGTTCTCATCTCAGCAAAAAATAGTGATACAGTAGAGAGGAAACTTAAGGCTTAGAAATTGAAGTTAACCTAAACGCAGCCAGAACCCAAAAAATGAAAACTCAAAACTTGAATCAGATTAACCCACATTTACTGAAACTCAAAGAAGTGTTTTATTATGTCAATGTATATGTACGCGATGGAGAGAGAGAGAGAGAGAGAGAGAGAGAGAGATTACGTTCCGGGGACGACGGCCTCCATCCAAGGAAGGGCGGGGGAGGGAGGGTGGGTGGTGGTGAGCTGGGTGCCACTAACCGTGACCTCCCTGTCTCTCGTCCCGATCCAACCCGAGTCCAGCCTCGTCTTCCCTATCGCCGCCATTGAAGCCTAGCTCTCTCTCTCTCTCTACAGTCCCAGTCAGCCAAAGTCACAGTCTCACTCACCAGATCTCTCTCATTTTAAAAGTGTGTACTTTGAACGCGGGCTGCTGCTGACAGAGACAGCCGACAAAGATGACAGGAAAGATGGCATTATTTATATATTGATTTTTGCCGCGCATCACACCCACAGTGCACAAAACGATGTCGTATGCTCCATCATTTATTTGACAATATTTCGAGGACCGTGATTCATCATATGTTATCTGTTTTGACATGATATAGAGTTTTTTTTTTCATAACTATTTGTTGCGATAAATTATAATTATAGTTTTATTTGATGACTATTTAAGTGCTCTATGGAGTCCCATTAAATCCTTATAGACTTCGGGCTCGTTTGGGAGTGCTTCTTTCCGAAGCGCTTATGCTAGTAGCGCTTATGCCAGTAGCACTTAGCAGTTTGTCGTTTGGATGTCACATTTAAAAGTGCTTTTACACTACATAAAAGCGTTTTTTATATTTTGTTGAGTGTTTGGCTAACACAGTAAAAGCGCTTTTAAAAGTACTTTAAAAAAAATTTAAAGAATCCCAAAATATTATAATAAACACAGAAAATAAAAATTCATAAGATCCCAAAATAAAAACATGACTTTAAAAAGTATGAAATTCCCAAAATAAATTCATAGAAAATCTAAAATAACAACACAATCTGTAGACATAAGTGAGACTCAAGAGGATATAAAAAAAAAACCTAGAAAAAGTTTGAGGAAAGATGAGGTTTGCAGCAACAGCATGAAAGGAAATCCAAGTTCCAACAACCAAATTGTCCCCTGCATACTTTGATGTGTAAAAGTTTAGTGGACATGTGGGCGTAATATATGAAATTAAAAAGGAATTGGCAAGAACCACCTCAAAATTTTGAATAACACTGTTGGGAAGCTCGTAAATAAGAACAATACAAGAAGAAAGGAAATGACTTTGCTTTGGTCATCATTAAGAGAAAAAGAGAGAGAAAAAGAAAGAAAGGGAGGGTATTTTGGCATTTAAAAAAATTAAATATGGGTATTTTTGGCATTTTAAAAGTTTCATTAAAGGGAGCCAAGTGCTTCCCTTGTTTTTGTCCTACAGCGCTTTTAAGAAGAAGCACCTCTCAAGTGCTTCTTCCAAAACCACTCCAAGTGCTTTTGGATCTCACCCAAAGCGCTTTTGCAATTTTTGCCAAACACCATTTTTAAAAGACAAAAGTGCTTTTGCCCATTTAGAAGCGCTTTTCGCTGCTTCAAAAGCACTCCCAAACGAGCCCTTCCTCTTCTTCGTTGTGTATAATTCAACTATTACAAGCAGCAAAGACAAAGCAGAACAAGTTTTTAAACCAGCTCCATCAATTGACTGTATGGACACCATGGTAATTCCATCCGTCAAGAGTAACTCGTGGGGTGACACCAGGAGGGACCTCAAAAGAGATCTTGATGGGCATAGCTTCACCCGGCACCAGCGAAAAATAGTTGTCCGAATAATGAACAGGAAGAATTCTTGTGTCTTCTCCTTCCTTATGGCCATTCTTCAATCCATGAACTGAAAAATGCAGGAAGAAAGCCACGCCTATGTCACTGCCATTGATCTCAGCAACCCTCAAACCATCACTCTCCTTTGTGAAATGTCTGGATATTTTCTGAAACCAACTAGCTTCATGTTTTTTGTCTGCTCCATCATGTGTAGAGTGCACCGTGGCTACATTGAAATCACCATCACCTTGTTTAGTAGCAAAATCGTTTCGATAGGTTCGGCTTTTTGGCTCTGGTTTCTTAGATGTGTTCTCCACAAGCATATGCATTTCGTTGGTGGTTCCCTTTATGAAAACCTGGGATATAATCTTGAGTGGTACTGTTTTCTTCCTGTATGGTTCTAACAGCTTGTAATCCCCACCAGACAGATGCAACCAGTAAAAGTTCCTGGATATAATGCGATCGTCTGACATGCGATACAGTTTGAGAAGAAGAAAGTAAACTGGCTTTGGGTTTTTAGATTTTGGATATTTCATCTCAGCAATTGGCACTGTTCTTTTTGGTCGCACCAAAAGCTTTTCGTGAACTTTGTAGTATGGGCATGTTCCTTCTAGATCCCACACTGAGGCTTCTATAGCGATGTCAGATAGTTCCTCTGATGTAGTGTTGACAACCTGTTCAAGGCAGGAAGAGACAATGACAGCAAATCTCAAACCATGTCTCTAATGTAAACTCCGTAAATAGCCGAGTAACCTCTAAGAAATATGTAACCAAGTTACCTCTAAAAGATATGTAGCCAAGTTAAGCTGGACATGGATTGGCTCCGCAGCACAGCGACAGCCATAGAAACCTGCTGTTTGGTCTAGAAGATGATCGTAAAACTGACCTCTAAGACCTGTCCAAGGATTCTGTGTTTTCCAAATCAAAACACCAGTGTATTTAGTCCACATTCGAGAAGTCCAACCCTCCAGTAGAGCTCTATACTGAATGTAGTTAACAAGTTGAGCCTGAGATGATTTAAAGTAAGTCCAATAGTTAAAACAGAGATAGATCCAATGTGCACCCTGAATAACCAAAAGATTAGTTTACCTTCAAGCAAAAATCATTGAGATCCTTTGGGGACCCGTAAAGTAAAATCTGGTCATGAACCTTGCCTGGTTTTGAATAGGGGATGTATTTATGGTATTCCCAGATGGGGTTTGGGACTTCTTGATAATAATTGGAAACTTTCTTAAACAAAGGAATCTGCCATCCTTCTGGAGGCATTGTAGCTCTGATGGTAGCTGAAACAGGCATACCTACAGAACCAACTTCAGGATTGAACCCATATTTGTAAAAGTCATCTTTAAAGAAGTCTTCGGGATTTTGAATTTCGTAAGGGCCATCAGTGAAGTCCCCCTTTCCATTTGCAAACCCATCCCACATGGATCCTTGGATGTAAATGCGTGCACCATCAAGATATTGGCTTGGATCCCTCAACAATGGGGGAGAATCTTCAACAAACTTGCCACCTTTATTTAATGAGCTTTCAAAATGTGGATGGAGCCTGAGGTCTTGTTTCAGAGCTTTATTGATGTCATCTGGTGGAATTTGCTCATTTCCACCCACCCAGAGGGCAAGACTAGGATGGTTCCTGAGAAGCTTGACAGTATCTCTTGCACATAGCAAGAAAAGATCATGGTCCAGTGGACCATTGGGATTTGATACAGGGACACCTCGTCCATCGACATCTCCTGTAATCCAAAATTCTTGCCAGACCTACAAAATTTAAATCCGAGGCAGAGCAGTATAGATCAGATTCACCCAACTAATTCCATGGCCATGAGATTTCAAACCTAATGCATTCAAGTTTACTTATCCCTCCTTCCCCAATAAAACCTGACAAAACATGCACATGTTAAAGCAAGAGCAGGCATGACTTACCAACAACCCATAAATGTCACAGTAATGATAAAATTCTGGCCTCTCAGCCAGTCCACCACCCCAACAACGGATCATGTTAAAATTCATATCTGCATGAAACTTGATGTCTGTACTGTAACGCTTCTTTGAAAGTCGTAGGAGGCCATCTGATAATATCCAATTACCACCACGAATAAAAATAGGCTGACCATTGACCTTGAACAACCTTGAGAGGAGAATGCACAAGTTAAAAGTTAAACAGACTCTCAATTTTGTTAAACAGAATCTACATTAAACTTTATGTAATTACCATACCTTCCTCCAGTGGTATTATCAATGTGGCTCTCAATTTTGCGGAATCCAAATAATTGGCTCCACAAATCAGACTCTCCATATCCCTTTACATCAACAGTAATAGAAACTTCGTACAAGGATTGCTTTCCCATACCATTTGGCCACCATAAATTGGGCTTGTAGAAAAAGAGCTGCCAAATAAATTTGATTTAGTACTGAACACAAGTATTGAAAGCTAAACCTAATAAATGTAAAGAATTGAATATCAAGATAAAAAGATTCTCCAAAGGGCTTCTAGAAAAGTATTGTTTTCTGCTAAAATAATTAAAATGCATACTATGTTCTGTCACGAACCTCAGGAAACGTATATTGCACCCGTGATCCAGCAGGGATTGACAAATGTTGAGTCTGAAGATGCTCTACTAAACAAAAATTTCTTTCAAGATCTGTTGTTACTTGAATATTCAATGAACACTCAGCAACCCAGGTGCTCTTATTTTCCAACTCAGTTGTAGCATGCAAATATGCCCTCTTGTAATTGTCATAAAATGATGAAACCAAGTGGGGATCAATTACTTTTACTGGCTGCACCAAATGGGAAAGAGTGAAAAAACAAAAGAACTTATTATAGACCACAAAGGCCATACTTACACAGTGCAAGAAGTCAACAACTTTTCATTGAGCCTCAACACAAATCAAATGATCAGCCCATATAAAGGTAAATCTATTTCCTTTCCCAACAAGATGAAAATCAGCATATCACTATAGAGACAGTATCACAAGGAAAATTCTATGACAGGAAGTGAAGCATTAAGACTAAACTCACCCCTGTTACAGAAATTGACACCTCATCCCATATGCCAGTGTTTCTATCCCTGTATCAATATACAAGTTAATTACATTGGAAATCCTTTTTACACTGATAATAAAAGATGACACATCCTCTGGCATCCCATTTTAGAAAGAAGATGAAAAGCATATCATTGGTTTGTGATCACAACATGCTAAAGAAAACACTCTGCAATCTCAATAGTAAAACATAATCACCTTATAGGACACATCCAATCCCAACCCTCCACATACTGAGTAGCTACATCTTTCCCGATCTGAAATAAAATTTGAAAATTAATAGTTATATTAATCTCAGTTTGCTCATTGCATACACTTGATAATTAACTCTTTGGAAGCCATCATTGGTCTTGCATAAAATCCAGCATCTTAATGTAGAATGATAAAAGACTCATGGATATAGATATGTACCTCATGATCACCGCCTTGCCCACCCTCAGGAGGAATACTCCCTGGATGATCTGGAGGGTAAACAAGAACAGCAAGCAAGTTTTGACCATCAGGATGCACTATATCAGTGACATCAAGAGAATGCCTTCGAAACATCCCTTTTGGCAGGACTTTTTTGTGCCCATTTAAATATACCTCTGCAGAATAATTGATTGCACGAAAATTCAGATCCAGGTGCTGAGTACCTGACTGGAAAAGGGTCATGTATTTAGAGGAAAGTATCCAAGCTAAAATATCAAGGAAAACAAAAATTAAAATCGAGGATAATCTTACAAATCTTGCCATAAAGAAAGAACATGTTATCATTAAAATGAATCACTTACCAGCTTACACTGAAAGGTTGTAAAGAACCAGAATGTATAGTACTCCCTCCCGGAATCAGCAATATCTATGATTGACTCGTTTTCCAACCCATAGAACGGATCGGGTACAACTTTGTTCTTCACCAAGGTTGCCAAAACACTGTGAACTAAATCATGATTAGCCCTGAGCCCTGATAGTTTTTAGTAAAATTATGATTCAAGTTGGAGGCGTTTGAATCAATTCCAAATTGTTAGTGGAACAAGTTGAACATAATTCTACCAATGAGTTTCATATTTCTTAGCACATTTTGATGTCATGCAAACACTGAAATGAACTTGAGCCCAGAACTTGAATCAAATTAAACCACATTTACTTAATCACATTGAAATTAATGTGTGTGTGTGTGAGAGAGAGAGAGAGAGAGAGAGAGAGAGAGAGAGAGAGAGATTACGTTCCGGGAACAACGGCCTCCATCCAAGGGGAGGTGGAGCCAACGGAGGGAGGTTGAGTGGTGGTGAGCTGGGTCCCACTGAGATGGACCTCCGTGGACCTCGCGGCGAGCCACCCCGAGTCCAGCGTCGTTTTGCCTATCGCCGCCATTAAACCCTAGTTTCAGTCAATTTAGCTGTCACTCTCACTCTCAAAAGTCAGAAATGAAGAGGAGACTTCATCACTCATCCTAGTTTTTTCTCAATTATCAGTGTGCATATGAGTTCGTGAGTGTGGGGCAGAGGCTCAGACTCAGACCGACAAAGATGATCATCCCCTTTCTTATCTTTTACGGCTGAGATTTCTATGTGATACAGATCCGTGATAAAGTAATATTTTTTCACAACTACCTTTTGATTTTACCGCGCATCACCAGTCTTACAACGCCGTTTTCTTCCGTGTAGGATTAATAGTTTTTCATTTATTTAACAATGTGCAAACAACTCACTGATGTAGTGATTTAGAGTAATTATTCTTCAAGAAAAGATTCTGGGCTTGAGTTATAATATTCGTGTAGTGTGTGTGAGTTCGTATAATTTGTGTGAATTTAGTATATTATCACACTTCTTAATAAAAAAGGGTTCTTAAAAAATAAAAATAAAAACCTCACAATAAGAAAGGTTCTCAACAAAAAAGAAAAAAAATACAATACCACAAGGGTCAATAAAAATATAGTCTTTTGTTTCATTACTCTATCTATTGTTTTTTTTTTTATATATATACAAACGATCATTTAAAGTAGTTTAATATATGAAGAACATAATCAAACTCAAATGCAAGGGTTTTGACCAACCAGCCTAACTTTTTCAATTGTTAATTACACCAATTTAACTCAATAATGTGAATTTATGCGAGCTAGGTTCATGCTGGTGTTACTTTATTATCTTTTAATGGAGGAAACCTACCCCAATATGAAGAAATCAAGGTTTTTACCTGTATTTGGTATAGTTTGTATAGCTGTAAATTACTTGCCTTTGTTAAATTCTACTTGTGTTCATTATCCTCACAACCAAAGCTTCTAATATTGGATCAACACAACACGTGCCTAAATTGCACATTTTTGGTTGGACCATTTTTCTTTTAAATCTCGTTAAATTGCATCATGGCTTCCTAGTCCTATTGTTGTACCCATAATACTTCTTTTTTCCCATAACTTGTTTTTCTTTCTTTTATTTTTCCCCCTTTCCCATAAGGATATAGTTGAATTCAGGGAGACAAGATAAAGATATGACCGGGTTACATGGCCATGTGATGTGCTTAGTTGCTCCAAACTAAGCAACAAAATCATTGAAAATCAAGACCCAAGCTTTCTCAATCTCATCTTCTTCGTGTTTTCTTTTTTCTTTTTCCATTTGGTTTGACATATTCAAAGTCTTTTTGGCCCCAGATTGAGAAGTAAATTTATCCTTATATGATATCTCAGCCAAATTTGAAGCTCTGAAACTTTGTTTGAAATGATACATTGGCATGTTAAATTAATGTTAAGCTGACAAAAACTTTATCTTATTTTGCGTTTGTTGTAATATATTATTGGTTCAGTAGACCATTAATTATTATTTTTACGTAAGTTATCAAGCTGGTAAGATTTGAAATCGTCCAACCGATGATATTAACGGTCAGGATTTTGTTGTCCGTACCGTACGTCGGCAAACTACAAGCCATGAGGTCATGGAAAGCTGGAAGAGAAATACTTAAGGAGTATAGCCGCGCGGCTATACTATTATTCGAGAATCTGAAACACTGTTTGCGCCTTCTTCGTCACATTTGCCCTTAAAAAGCGCGCCCATTTTCCCATTTGTCAATTTTTCTGTTACTTCAATTGAACCTTTAAAAATGAAAAAAAAAAAAAAAAAAAA